CAGGACCAATCCTTACAAGGATTTCAAATGGTCTAATGTAATTTGGATTTAGTTTTCCATGCTTTCCAAAGCGTATCATGCCCTTCCAGGGTGAGACATTTAATAGAACACGGCCGCCAACCTAAAATTCCAAGGGTTTTCATGTCTTGTCTGCATAGCTCTTTTGTCGATCTCAAGAGGCTTTCAGACGTTCACGAATTTAAAAAATTTTATCGGTCATTTCCCTGATGATCTCCAGACCAGTGAGAGTGCTGTCAAGAACTTTTCCTTTAGCTAACTGCGTATCACCCATTTCCGCCCAGCACAGAGGTGATCTACACTTGTGACCACAGAGGGCTTCAAATGGAGCAACATTGATGCTGATGTGATAATTGTTGTTATATGAAAACTCGACAAGTGGTAAATGGGTATCCCATACTTTACCAAAGTCGATCACACAAGATTTCAGCATGTCTTCTAGTGTTTGGATAGTTCTCTCACTCTTCATGTCTGTTTGTGGGTGATAGGTTGTACTCATGTCCAACCTAGTTCCTAGGGATTTTTGAAGTACCTGCCAGAACCGAGAGGTAAATCAACTATCTGTGTCAGAGATAATAGATATTGGTACTCCATGTAATCGTTGTATTTCCCTAATGTATGTTCTGGTCAGTTTTTCCATCTTGTTTGTTTCTTTGATTGTCAGGAAGTGTGTGGACTTTATTACCCGGTTGATGATTACCCAGATTGTATCAAGACCACCCGTTGTCTTGGGTAATTTGGTTAGGAAATCGATTGTAATCCGTTCCCAATTTCACTCAGGTATTTCTGGTTGTTATAATAAACCTGAGGGCTTTGGTATTCTACCTTTACTTTAACGCAAGTCCGACACTCGTCCACGTAGGTAGCAATTTTTGCTTTCATATTCGGCCACCAATACAATTTCTTAAGGTATATATATATATATATAATATATATATATATATATATATATATATATATATAATATATATATATATATATATATATATATGTCTGAACCTGGATGAACAAAGTATCAAATCTTGTGTGCTTCGTTCATGAAAACTTCTCTGAATCCACCAAACTTCGGTGTCCAGATTCGCTTCATGAAATAACGGACTCTGTTACCCTTGATTTCCAAGTTCTTTTCCTTTCTCCTTAAGGCTTTACCCATCATGTTCTCATGTTTCAAGGCTTCCAGCTAAGTCTCCTTGATTTGTGTGGATAGGTGTGAATGGATGGTCATGGTCATAATAATTAAGTAGCTCAACCCATCGTCATTGTATCATATTTAGCTCATTCTGATCGAATATATGCAGAAGAATTTGGTGCACTTAGTGCTGTAGAAGTAGTGTCTCCAGATCTTTAGATCAAACACTATTGCTCCCAACTCAAGTTCATGAATAGTGTAGTTGAGCTTGTGAGTTTTTGGTTGTCGTGAGGCATAGGTGATAACTTTTCCTCGCTACATAAGTACACATCCCAACCCTTGATTGGATACATCAGAGTATACAACGAAGTCTTCTGTCCCTTAAGGTATATATAGAATAGGCGCGCTACACAGAGCATGTTTCAGAGATTGGAATGCAGTTTCTTGTTTCTCTCTCCAGTTGAAAGTTACCCGCTTCTGAGTCAGGGTAGTAAGTGGTTTAGCGATCCTTGAGAAGTTCTATACGAATCTGCGGTAAGAGCCAACAAGGCCTAAGAATTGATGGATTTCTGTGGGTGTTTTTTTGGTGCTGACCACTTCTTGATTGGTTTAATATTGGAGGGGTCCACATGTATTCCTTCTTCGCACTACTAGAAAAATAGCCTTTTACGACGCTCATTGCGCGTCGTAAAACGCTCAGACGACGCGCAAATGCGCGTCAAGGAAGGCCCTGTCATAAAGAGACACGACGCACTTTTGCACGTCGTCTATAGACAACGCTCATTTACGACGCGCATTTATGACGCGCATTTACGATGCACGGTTATGACATGCAATGCGTATCAACGAAGGCCCTGTCATAAAGGAAGACGACATGCATTTGCGTGTCGTAGCCTTACAACGCGCGTGTTTATGACACATAATGTGTATCAAAGAAGCCCCTATCAAGAAAGGCCATGTCATAAATGAAGACGACACACATTTTTGCGTATCGTAATTTTAATTTTTTTTTAAAAAAAAAATTATTTATAAATTTACTGATTTTCAAATTAAATTTGCATTTCATGTCTCATAATAGAAAATAAAATACCGTATACAAAAAATACAATACATTGCACAAAAGTTAATGTCATACAAATTATATTATTTCTTTTTTATTTTTCAAAAGAAAAATATATAGATTTCATGGTATTAATTTTTTTTTGTTTGTAAATATTCCAAGCATGTCCTTCAGATTTCGATTCCAATTCCAATTCCAATTCTCTTGATGGATTCCATTCCTTCAAAAATACAACTGACATTAACTTGTTTAACATAGGGAACAGGAACAATGAATTCCCCAACATCCAGATCTCCAATTGATATTGACAAACACAAGCCACGAGGCCAACATCTCAAAGGACCAATCTATCAAAAAATAAGTTTAAACAAGTTATATTTTTCTTTAAATATAAAAACTAAATAAATCCATTTTTCAATAAAATTAAATATGTTATGTGATTAAAAGAGCCATATCATACATGTGCACCACCACCGACATTAAGTCGACCAACTTCACCACCACTAGCAGGGACACGCTCTCTCCTACAAAAATAAACAAAAATTATAAAAATCATCAGATACTGAAATAGGACTAAAAAAAGCATAATATAAGATCTGATAACTTATTCTTCTTCACTGCATTCAAGTTCGTGACCTGCTTATAGATAATATAACCCTCCTTCTGCATACTCAATTATGGAACATGAATCACCAACAGAAGCTACGGATATAACTGCTCCTTCAACAATCACAAATGTCATAGTTGTTCCTGATGATTGAACTGAATTCATAACAATCCATAAGTAAGGAATCAAACCAACTAGTTGCTTATAACTCTGTGATACTACATGCATTCAATATAAAATCACCGAAAGCAAAAAGGTAATCGTTATCTGTTTTCACAAATCCTGCCACCAAAACCCTAGGCAACATTGCAATCCATTCATCTCGGTAAAGTTAGTAGTAGTATGCAATAATAATAACTATATGCCATCAAGGAAAGTCAAACTAGAACATACAATTGACTTGAAACTCTTTATGACGGATTCAAAGCTTTAAGGTTTATCTTCTGCAAAACAAGAGACAAAAGTCATTTCCATAAACAATGTAGAAGAAAAAAGGTCTAGTCAAAAGTCAAATGAAAGAGAACAATGGCTATAACTTACCTATAGATAGAGGGTCTATATGTACAAAGAAACTTGCAACAAGTATCAAATTGCAAAACACAAGCATTACTCCCTTGAAGTAATTGGATGTTCCATCCTACAAAATATATAAAAGAACCATTTTTAAATGAAAATTTTAATTTAGTCAAAGTTTTGTAAAAATATATGAATATGAAGCTTACTTGCAACACGAAAGCCACTACTATAACCGTCATAATAAGAGTTGATGTCTCAAAAAGTTGAAAATTTAGGTCCAAAGGATGCCCCATGATCCGCCCAACAACCACACAAAAATGGAATCTGCAGTTACAAACACAAAAATTTTAAAATAAAAGTTAGTATTTGTTTAAATTATGTTGCTATTTTTTTAAATTAACCTTTCTTTTAATATAGAGAGAAAAAAAACACGTACAACAAACATAGATATTTGTGTTGAGGAGCCAATCGCGACTCCTAAAGAGATATCATCTAAAGATTGTAACTAAAAATATTTAAAAAACTAAATAAAATGAATTATGATTCTTGTAATGACTAATGACTTACAAGCTTGTCTTTCATGGCAAACATGATGGCACTTGCATGTTCCGCTGCATTTCCAATAATAGGAAGAAGGATGACACTGATAAATGCTATAGAGATATTCATTGCAACAGAAGCACCCTAGAAATGGAAATCATGTCTATATTTTAGAAAATAGGTTCATTGATTATTAGTTTAAGATAATTATTCTGATACCTCAATGGTGTTGACTAGATATTCTGAAAGAATGGAAATCAAGAGTGTCATAATGAATTAGAAAAAACATAAAGTGAATATGTATGTCCAGATTGAATATGAAAATAAAGAAAAATGAAGGTTGTACCAGAGCAGGATGCCCAATCAAACTATTCAAAACTGTTGATTTAGCTGCACTCTGAACAATTGGTAGCCCATAATTATAAATGAACTATTTAAGATCCATAAATTGGTAAACCTGAAAAAGCAAAAATGTAGGCTAGCAAGATCAGATTGGCTCCATGATTAGCTAAACAGTAGACCCCTAGCAGTTGATGAGTGGAGCCTGATCTAGTGGAAAGCATAATGCAAATTAATACTTCGACATATGGAATTAAGCAACAGTAGATGATTTTCTGCTGCAAGTAATAGTGTTGAATCACCTATATGCTAAATTGAAATCTAAGGAAAAATAGTTCCCAACTACATTTACAAAAAGATCCATCAAAAATAGGGATAGCAACAAAAACATATCGAGAGATCCACTGACTTAGTCAATCAACACAAAAGCAAGTAGTCGGATCAAAAGAGCTCATGTAAGACAAACTTACGGTATTGCCAAGAGCAACAAAATTAAGAAATGTGGAAGGGCGTTTTGAAGAAGACGATGAATTTGCATCAACATCTTCATCGTTAAGCAAAGCGACAACCTGCCGCATCGAATCCGCAAGTTGAGCCAATTCTTTAATCTACCAAGCTTGCTCTGAGGGACTATAAGGTTAGGGAAAAAAAGTTGGATTGCTAGTGCAACAATCACCTCCAAATCGGAAAAAAATAAGATGGGACAAGAATGGTTGTGATCGAACCAGAGGGAGAATAGGCACATCTTTTCTTTCATCTTTTTTTCTTTTCGCTCTCAAACTCTGGCTATAAATAGGAAAGCGCGAGAGATATTGAGAGAATAGGCACAAGAAAGACAGAGATATTGATTCAGGTACGGTTGAGAGGTAAGAAAATTTATTCATTTGAAGAAGAAGGAATTTGGATGGGCAAGGTGGGGACGAGGAAAACTTGTTTCCTGTGAGATCCAAAGCACAAAATCCCTAGTTCTTCCAATTTTGGGATGGCGTGTCTTTAACATGTGAGAATGTGGGTGAAGGCGGGGGACCTAGGGCTTCTTGTTGGAGGCCCTGGAGGTGGGTGAAGAGGTGGGTGAAGGCGGAGGCCCTAGGGCTTCTTGTTGCTAATTCAAAGATCAACATCGATGGTAGAAGGTGGAGGCATCAGTAGAAGGAACAAGGTAAAAAGAGAGGAGATCGAACCATTTGGTGTGAGGGTCGATTTGGAAGAAATCTCAAACCCTTAACCTCAAACATGATGTGAAGCAATTGATCCATAATCTTCTTCGTCTCCGTCAATTCCTTGGGCTCACATAATCGGACGATGGTGGTAAATGAAGCATTATTCGAGAAGGAAGGTGCATCGCTGTAGTTTGAGGCTAGAAGAGGAAATGAATATTGGAGGTAGTGGATGTGGATGATGGGTGGAGATGAGGGAGAAGAAGGTGGGGGTTTAAAAAATTTGGGGATTTCATTTTCCCTCCGAGATGCGCGTATCTTAAAAAAAATATATAAAACAACATTCACAGACGACGCACAAGTGCCTTCCGTGTTTTTAATAATTTTACGTGAGACACTAATTTAAGGGCACTCAGTAATGCATGACCTAAATCCTTAAAATTTTTGAAGAGATGACACTTTTTTAATGTTGCTCTCTAATACGTAACATAAATCAAAGAGCATCGTGTTTTGCGCGTCGTAAAAGGGTCTTTTTCTTATAGTGTTGCTAACCACATGACCTTGGAAATCTACTTTATGAATCAAAAATTCGCATTTTTAGAATTTCGCATAAAGTTTTTCTACTCACAACGTCTCCAAGACCTATTGAAGGTGTTGACTACGCTCCTCCTTGCCTCGCGAGTAAATGAGTATATCGTCTATAAGCACAATAATTAATTTGTTTAGGAAAGCACAACATACCTTGTTCATTAAGTCCTTGAGCACTACGGGTGCATTGGTTAGTCTGAAGGGCATCACTACAAATTCGTAGTGACCATAACGCGTTCGAAATGCCATTTTGGGAACATCGCTTTCCTGGACTCATAATTGGTGATATCTGGATCTCAGGTCAATCTTTGAAAAGTAGTTTGCTCCTTGTAGTTGATCGAACAAATCATCTATTCTTGGTAGCGAGTATCGGTTCTTAATGGTGAGCTTGTTTAATTCTTGATAGTCGATGCATATTCGGAACGATCCATCATTCTTCTTTATGAACAGGACCGATGCTCCCCAAGGTGAGAAGCTCGTTCGAATGAATCCCTTACTGAGTACTTTGTTTAGTTGCTTGGATAATTCTTACATCTCTGTTTGTGCTAGGCGATACGGGGATTTGGCTACTGGTGTAGCTCCTGGAATAAGATGGATTCTAAATTCGACCTGTTGCGTAATAGGTACTCCTGGAAGATCCTTAGGAAATATGTCAGGAAAATTACAGACTTCAGGAATGCTCTTAAGGTCTTTCACTTCTTGCTTTTCATTCACGACATGAGCTAAGAATACATGGTATTCTTTGCGTAGGTATTTCCGAGTTTTAACGCAATAAATGATGCAGAGGTTCGTACGAGGTTTATTGCCATAGATGATGATGGTTTTACCATTTGGCAGATTAAGGCGAACGACCTTTTTGTAGCATAGAATATCAGCATGATGACATAGCTAATCCATGCTGATGATGACATCGAAACTTTTTATTGAGACTGGAATGAGGTTGATTTGAAAAGAATGATTTTTAGTGAGAGGCTACAATCTACGTATATGTCATTAGTGTTTTCTGTATTTCCATTTGCCATCTCGACGGCGAATGTTTCGTTTAATGATTTTGGTGTTTGATTGGGTAAATGCTTAAACCGGTGACTCACAAAACTCTTCTCCGCTCCACTATCAAACAATAGGCATGCATAAGAGTCATTGAGGAGAAACGTACCTGTAACCACGGTTGGTTCTGCCATTACCTCCTCATTTCCGATCGTTAGTACCCTTCATACTCTCCTTACATTCCTTGTTTTCGAGCAATCCCAGTAAATATGCCCTTTTCTCCACATCCATAGCAAGTGCGGCTCGCCCCTGTATTCGCGGTTGGGGCATTTTGTTGAGCTGGTTCTTTGCAAAAACGGACAGTGTGTCTTTTCTTGTTGCACTTCGTGCAATACATTTCCCAAAATGCATCTACATGGTGGTAGTTACACTTATTTCATTTCGGAAGACACCCAACATATTGCTTAGCGGGTGTGGGGCTATTGGGACAATGATGGTGTGAGCTGCCACTACTTGTTGTCTTTTGGAGTTTTCTTCTTTTGTTTTATTCTTTCTTTTGTTCCAAGGCCTTCTTCTATTGTTACTTTCCTTTGGTTGTTCAGGAGTGGCTGTTATCGTCCCCTGACAGACTCCATGGTCAATGAGTTGTTGCGCCAAATGTTTTGCACTGTCGAAAGTAGTAGGCTTGGAGGCTATTACATACCCGTGGATCTGGGGTGACTATCCCCATAAGTATCTTTCCACCTTTTTCGATTCCGGGGTTATCATCCCGGGACACAATATAGAGAGATCACAGAATCTGGCCGTGTAGGCAGCGAGGTCAGATCCATTCATTTTGAGGGTCCACAACTCATGTTCCAATTTTTCCAGTTCACCCCTTGGGCAATATTCTTCTAACATCAAGACCTTCAGGTCTTCCCAACTCATGGAATTTTCCACTGGGAAGGTTATAGCTTTGACATGGCTCTTCCACCAAGTAAGAGCTCTGTCAGAAAAGGTGCATGCTGCATATTTAACTTTGCTTATTTCTGGACACGCACATATTTCGAAGACTGATGCAGTCTTTTCGAACCAGTACATCAGTGCAATTACTACTCCACTTTCATTGAAGGTTTTAGGTTTCCCGTTGGTAAAGTCTTTGTATGAACACTCCTTAGGGTGTCCAAGGCTTTCTCCATGCTTCGAGTGATTAATACCATTGACCGCTCCACTGACACCACTTGCATTTATTTGATTTATTGCGGCTGCTACGACAGCAGTTACCGCTGCTTGGAACATAGCAGAATCATATTGTGGAGGTGGTGGTGGTGGTGGAGTTGGTGGAGCATTGTTGAAATGTCTGGGATTCTTTCTTGGCGGCATATTTTTCTACAAGATTTAATGAGGAAATGATGATAAGTTCTTTATGTCAATTATGAGTCAGGTGATATTGAACAAGACACATTTTACTTTTTAAATGCATCATATCCTGACTGATATATTGTTCTATTAAGAGATTTACAATAAAATTATACTAATATAAGTAAACAATCGCCAATTTCGTTTATAGCAACACTCATAATGAATTTGTATAGTGTTCTATACCATGTCCTTTTAATTTCACTTGGTCTATACTAGTTGTATGTAATTAAGGCTAAACAAATTGTTGAACATAATGGGTCTGCAACCAAAATTTGTGAAACAAAATGTTTATGAAAATTGTAGTAACTCCAAATGAAGTAAAATGCTCTTCATTTTCATTGATATATAGTTTTGTACATATAGTTGGGAAAATTTGACCTAGATATAGGTCTATATTACAACAATATAAGGGAAAATTTGGTAGTATTACAACCTACAAGTAGTGTATTCACCTAATCTTAGGGTGGAGTTTTACATATAGTTAAAAGTAGTATATATATCTGAGATACTAGTCTAGATCAAAATAGAAGTAATGTAAAGACTACTTGTGGAGAATATGGTTCATGGAAATGGATTCTGTAACATGGTGCTCTCTTTCCATCAAACGCCTCTCTAGTGTAGTTTGATGCTCCCTGGGTGCTCTAATTTTGTCTTGAGCAGCAATCATCTCTTCATGAAGCATATCAGTGTAATGTCTAGTGTTATCATTATCTCTGTCTAAACAACGAAGATTAATGGCGTTAACTTGGGAGGAATCATTAACATCCGGAATTCGATTGATTGATATTCGCGATTAATCAACCTGGCGAGAAATGCGGCGTACTATAATAGGGAGGGCCCTGTCAGCTGAACCTCCATTGTTGATGTTGTAGAAGCCTCTATTCATACTGAAAGGAGGGAGTTGTCCTTGCCATTGGCTCCACTAATGTAGTTCTTCACCCCATGCTGGTATTGGATCTTGGAAATCCTATCTGGCTGTAGGGTTTTTTTCAACTGGCGGTGGGTTGTATACTTCTGGAGTAGAGTCTGTAGCTTCTAAATCTTCCTCGGGATCCTCTTCCGGATCATCTTCAATCCAACCATTATTCCCTTGATTAGGGAAGTAGGGATCTCCGTGCGGGGGATATCCGGCCATAATGTCAATACGAGAATAGAAAGAATGTAAACATGTTGTTTTATAGTATTACAAAATACTCCTATAGTATTTTAAATAATAAAGGCTCTCTGTATGGTTTATTGGTAAGTTTTAGACTTGTTGCAAACACCAGGATCACTCCCAAACACATGTTGGTCATATCTCAAATAAATATAGTTGATCAGGCTATATTTATTCCAAATATGATTACATAACTGTCTAGGTTTGATTCTAGTGTTCAACATCTTAATACTTCTGTTTTGTTCTTCTTGTGATACTTGTCCTAGTATGTAAGCATATATATATATAT